TCATGTACAACATGTTCAACTGGCCCAATACGCGCGGCTCGCGGCTGGTGGTGATTGCGGTGGCCAACACCATGGACCTGCCGGAGCGCACGCTCAACCCCAAGGTGGCCAGCCGGCTGGGCATGACGCGCATCGTCTTTATGCCCTACACGGACCGGCAGCTGGTCGAGATTGTCAAGTCGCGGCTGGGCATCGCCTCGACGACGACGGGCATGGGACCGGGAGGCGCCGGTGCAAAGGCGCTGGCGGCGCGGCAGCGCGACATGGAGACGGACGCGACGCGCGGGTGCAAGGACGTCTTCCACCTCGACGCCATCACCTACGTCTCGAAGCGCGTCAGCAACGTGAGCGGCGACGCGCGGCGCATGCTCGACGTGTGCCGCCGTGCCGTCGAGCTCGTCGAGATGCGCGCTGTCGCCTCGGTCGCTGCCGTCGCTGCGGCGGCCACTGGATCCACATCGACCAGCAACGGCGGCAACAACGACGCTGCGGCGACGGCGACGGTCAAGGCCGTGACGATTGCGGATATGAAGTCGGTGCTCGACTCGATGGTCAAGAGCGGGCGGGTATCGCACATCCTCTCGCTGCCGCTGCACGGCAAGGTGCTGCTGCTGAGCCTGTTTAGCTGTCTGCGGCGGAGCGGGCTGGTCGAGGCCGAACTAGTCGACGTACTCACGCACCACCGCGCCGTGTGCAGGATGTACGCCATCCACCCTTCGCCCCTCCTCCTCTTTTCCCCTTCTTCTTCCTCGTCGTCGTCGTCGTCATCACTCCCTCTTGGAGCGGGAGCGGGAGCGGGAGGGGGGGTGGAAAAGGTGGTGTGGGATAAAATCGACTTTGCTCCCGCCCTCGCACAACTCTGCTCGCTCGGCCTCATCCTTGCTGTCGGACAGGGTGCGGGACCGGGCAGGGCGAGGGGGTTTTCGCGCCTCATTCTCGCCTGCCAGGAGGACGAGGTGCGGCTGGCGTTTGGAAACGATGCCGACGAGCGCCTGCGCAAGATGCTCTAGTCCGCGGCCTTCGCTCCCGCACCACGGTGAGTCTCGAGACCCGACTCGGCCCGCCTCGATGCGATGTGGTGCGATGCGATGCAGACGACACGACGAGTGCCAGGACACACAACAAGGCCAAGCGGGAAGAAAGAAAAAAGGAAAAACAACAACAAAATCGTATTAATGCATTTCTCTCGGTCCCGTCTGTCTGCCCGGCCCCGTCTCTTCCCAATCCATCGCGCCATGTCTCCTTCTCTGTGTCGTAGTGCCGCCCACCCCCACTCCCCCTCGCTTTCGGCGGCGGGAGGCAGGGCAGAAAGACAGGTGCGACGGCGGATACGACGAACGAGGGAGCCCGGCAGCGACGGTCCCTTTGGAGAAAGAAAGGAAAGAAAGACACGGACACCGTGGAATCAAGAGCGGCAAAACCTCGTCGACGCGACCCGCTGCCGACGTCGGAACGCGAGAGAGTGAGAAAAGGGGAATATCGACAGGTAAGGAAGTGGGACAGTGGCGTCCCCTCAGGGAGGGGGCATGTTGGGGGGCATGGACCGAGTGCGCCGTCGAGGAGCGCGTTTTGGGGGGTGGGGTGGGGG